CAAGCCACTATGGCTAGGTTTATGGCGGGTTTAAATAGAGATATTCATGACATAGTGGAGATGCAACAACACTATGATGTTGAGGAATTGCTTCAACATGCTTTGAAGGCCGAGAGTCAAGTCAAAAGGAATGGCACTAAGATGAGCTTTGCATCATCATCAAGCTCATGGAAGAATCCAATTAAGAAAGATGAGAAAACTTTCAACAAAGAGAAGGAGGTGGCGCAAAAGGGAGCAAGCCCTAAAACCGATTCTAAGTCTTCATCAAGTTCTTCTTCTAAGAGTCATGTTAAGTGTTTTAAGTGTCAAGGATGATGCGCCAATGGCTTATCATAGCATAGAAGAGCACAATGGAGCTAATGGAGATCATGTCTCGGATAAAAATGGAGATGTCATGGATGTTCAAGAAGATGTTATGGTTGATCCCGGATTGAACGCAAGCTTGGAGGAGCATGGAGTTGGAGGCATCACACATGACCGGCCATTGCATGGAGAAGCCGCGCAACACCGGCCACTTGACCGGCCATCGCATGCTCAATGGCATGGGGCAACCGGCCACAACCGGCCATCGCATGGAGCATCAACCGGCCACAACCGGCTATCGCATGGGGCATCCGCGCACAACCGGCCAATGGATCCTTTAGCCATTCCGCAAGGTCCAATGACAAGGGCCCGGGCTAAAAGGTTCAAGGAAGCTTTATTGGGCTTTGTTAGATCTCATCTTGGAGGTTTGGAGTCCATTGAAGAAGAATTGGAGAGTATTGAAATCGACAACACCAAGAATATTCCCATCGATTCCAAGATATTCACCTTACTTGAAATCGATGATCATTAGTTCTTATGTTGTGTAATTCGGCCACGTGGGCCTTTATTTTATCTTAGTTTAGTTAATTATTTAGTTTGGACCTTGATTAGGGTTGGGCCTTGTTTAATTAAAGTCCAATCCTCATCTATTTTCCTATTGGTTGTATTTTAGGATAGTTTCTAGAATAGTCTATGTAAGCCACCCTTATGGCTTTAGGATTGGAAGAGAGGTGCGTCTCCGACTATTATATAAAGGGACCATCCCCCTCTTGTAAACATAAGTTGGGTTGATTAATAAAGTTGAGGATTATTTTCTCAAATTGATTATCTTAGCTTCATTGTTCTAGTTTGAGCAAACTTAGGGTTCCTCAATCTTGTAGAGTCCTACCAAACAATTAGGTTGTGATTGCTTAGTTGTTTGTGAATCTTGTGATCTTAGGTTGATAATTGCAGGTCTAATTATTCATCTAAGGCCGACGAACGAAGGAGGATTTATCTAGTGAAGATTGTCGACGTACAAGTCTAGGAGTTTGGTGATTCAAGTTGATCTTTGGCGGGTCTCAAAGGTGGATTTGAACCGATTGCAACTAGATTCGTATCAATTGGTAATCAGAGCATAGGTTTATCATCTTCAATCGGTAAGTCTATCTTTCTATTCATTATTCATCAAGTTTTCATCCATCAATTTCATCCATACACTCATCGCACCACCCTACGTTGAAAATTCAAAAATTCAGAAACTTTGAAAATTCATAGCCGATTCATCTTACATCTACTTGCTTTGAAATTTCAAATTTGAGTTCCTTATAACTAGTAGTTATATGGAAAAATATCAAAAAAATAAAAAAAAATTCGACCGGAAACTTGTGATTTTTGTTCTGGGTTCGTTTGAAGTCGGAAAGCTTTGAAATTTGAGATTTAGACTTCTTTTAGTGTGATCTTTCTGGGAACAATATTGAAAAAATTAAAAAAAAATATGTGCTGTTATCGATTTTCGACATTAACTAGGGTTTTTGTTTGGAATTTTTGGGAATTAGGGTTTTCATTGTTTGTGTAATTGAGATCCTTGGATTGCTTTTGCTGTGAATTGTGTTTTAATTTGAAGAATTTCAGGCCCTATTGGAGTTAAGTGGTATAAAATAAGATTTAAGTGGTACTAGGGCTTTGAAGGCTAACCTAGGCGCGGGTCACCCTTACCCAGGCGTGGGTCACCCTTGCCCAGGTGCGGGTCACCCTTGCCCAGGCGCGGGCTACACCAGGAGAATTGGCAAGGCTATTCCGGAACCTTGCCCAGGCGCGGGTTACCCTTGCCCAGGCGTAGGTTACACCAGAAAGTTGTGAAGATTGGTTTTTGGTTTAGATCACTTTCCTTTGATTCACAAATAATTTTGCTACTAATTGTTTGTTCCTCAAGTAGGTCACGGGAAGAAAGGGGTCTCTAGGAGTTGCTCTTATTAGGCCTATTGAAAGCTAGTAAAAGGCATAATCTTGTGAGATCATCAAGAGAGTAGTGGATCGCCAATCCATAGGACTTGAGTGCAAACACGAGAGCACAAGTGAAAAGGTATAATCACACACACACACTTGTGAGGATTTTTACTACTAATCTTTGTTCTTTTTGTAGGTATCATGGAAGGAGAACAAGATCAAGCCAATTTGGCTACTATGTTGCAAACCCTAATGCAACGTTTGGAAACTATGGATACTAAATTCAATGCTTTGGCCGATGATGTCCAACAAGTAAAGGATGGCCAAAATCAACAAGCTCAACCACCTCAACAAAGAGCTAATGCCGCACACAACAATGAAAGAGTTCAACCTCAACCAAGACAAGTTGTTCCTCGAATGGATCCAATGGAAAGATTAAGGCAACAAGAGCTTGGAGGTCAAGCAATCAATGAGAACATGCGGCCTAGGAGGGGAGTTGAAAGAGAAGAGCCTAAAGACAACATCAAATACAAAATCCCTAAATTCAATGGGAGAGGGTCACCATCCGATTATTTGTAGTGGGAATCGAAATTGGATATGTACTTCGATTATCACCCTCATACCGAGCCAAAGAAGGTGCAAATTGCTACTCTTGAATTTACGGAGAATGCTTTAAATTGGTGGAATCAACTAGTGTAAGCAAGAAGAACAAATTTGGAAAGACCTATAGATACTTGGTTGTCACTAAAGAGCTTTATGAGAAAGAGGTTTGTTCCAAGCTTTTATACTAATGGTCTCTACTAAGAATTGCAATCTTTGAGGCAAGGAACAAGGAGTGTTGATGAATACTACTCCGAGATGATGTTGTTGATGTCTAGGGCCGAAGTTGATGAAGCTCCACAAGCCACAATCGCAAGGATTTTTGCGGGGTTGAATAGAGAAATTCATGACATTGTGGAGATGCAACAACAATATGATGTTGAGGAATTGCTTCAACATGCTTTGAAAGCTGAAAGCCAAGTAAAGAGGAATAAAAAGAGCTTTGCGTCATCATCAAGCTCATGGAAAACTCCAATCAAGAAAGATGAGAAATCATCTAAAGAAAAGGAGTTGGCGCAAAAGGGAGCTTCCCCCAAAACCGATTCTTAAGTCTTCATCGGGTTCATCTTCTAATAGTTATGTTAAGTGCTTCAAATGTCAAGGGTTTGGACACTATGCTAAGGATTGCGTTAACAAGAAAGTCTTGTATTTTAATGAGCATGACGAGATTGTGAGTGAAGATGAAGAGTTAGCACTAGGATCTAGTGGTGATGGAGGCGATGAAAGGGGACTTGCTTATGATGATGAGGACAATGATGATGGTTCAACACCGGCACTCTTGAACTTAGTTGCAAGAAGAACTTTAAGTGCCTATGTTAAAGGACATGTGCACAATCAAAGGGAGAATTTGTTTCATACTAGGATGTATGCTAATGGAAAGCCTAGTAGTGCGATCATAGATGGAGGGAGTTGTACCAACATAGCTAGCATGTACTTAGTAAAGGAGTTAGCGTTACCTACCACTAAACACCCTAAACCCTATAGTTTAGGATGGTCCAATGATAGAGAGGAGATTAAGGTTAACAAACAAGTTTTAGTTTCTCTTTCTTTGGGCAGGTACGATGAAAAGGTGCTATGTGATGTGCTACCAATGCAAGCATGCCATGTCTTACTTGGTCGACCATGGCAATATGACAACAAGGTCCATCATGATGGTGAGACAAATAAGTATTCCCTTATGTGTGGTAAGCGTCTGATTACTTTGATTCCTTTATCACCTCAAGAAGCTTTAAAAGATCAAATAAAAGTGAGGGATGAATTTGCTAAGTTGGAATCGGATTTTAAGGTTAAAGAAAAGACTAAACATGCTAATTTGAATGTGAATTGCGATTTTGTTGATAAGCATGCTAGTTCTAAGAAAGTTAATAAGGAGTGTATGTTAGCTACTAAGAGTGAGATTAAAGAAGCTTTGCATGATAATTCTGTTTTGATCTTGGTTTTGCATAAATATACACTTGTGAGCACTAACCACTTGGACAAAGAGCTTCCAAGCAACATTGTTTCTCTTTTGAGTGACTATGTAGATGTGTTTCCTGAGGAGATTCCTAGTGGTTTACCACCAATTAGGGGGATTGAACATCAAATTGACTTCATCCCTAGGGCGCCAATACCAAATAAGCCAGCTTATAGGACAAATCCTGAAGAAACAAAGGAATTGGAGAAACAAGTTGGTGAGCTACTTCAAAAGGGGTTTGTGCGTGAAAGCCTTTCTCCATGTGCAGTTCCTGTTTTGCTTGTTCCTAAGAAGGATGGAACTTGGAGAATGTGTGTTGATTGTAGGGCAATAAAAAACATAACGGTAAAGTATCGTCACCCTATTCCTAGATTAGATGATATGCTAGATGAATTGCATGGTGCTTGCTTATTTTCTAAGATTGATCTTAAGAGTGGCTATCATCAAATTCGCATGAAAGAGGGTTATATGAATGGTTAGTTATGCCTTTTGGATTGACTAATGCACCTAGTACATTCATGCGATTAATGAATCATGTTTTAAGAGCTTTTATTGGCAAGTTTGTTGTTGTTTATTTTGATGATATCCTTGTGTATAGCCGAAACCTAGATGAGAATGTAAGGCATCTAAGATGTGTGTTAGATGTACTTAGGGTTGAGAAATTGTATGCTAACCTTAAGAAGTGCACCTTTTGCACAAACAAGCTTGTTTTTCT